GGGATATGACCTTTATTGAGCTTATCCACCAGAGTAGAAATAATGTCTGTACAAAACCAAATGTTTGTTACTATAACTTCTGCATCACAATTAAAATCCAAACAGTTTTTTAAAAACAGTCAACTCAATCAAAACCCACTACTTCAGAATCAATAGCTTCTTTGAAGCCACAGTAACACTTAAATATGGTTAAGATTCGAATGCAGAAATTTGGTTGGCTGGAAGGCTAACTAAGCCTCCAACTTGCTCAAATAGAATTACAAAAAGGCAAAATTGTGTTTTTCACAGAGATACCGTCCACTGAAATCACCGACACTGGACAGCTGTTAAGAATATTTAGAGTCCTGAGATAATACTTAATCCAGGCATCCTATGTAGTCTTCTGTTGTCCTTTCTTCCCAATCAGAGATTTGTGGATGTGTGGGATGACACCACCACCAGCAGTTGTAGCCCTGATCAGAGAGTCCAATTCTTCATCCCCACGAATAGCAAGTTGCAAGTGATGAGGGGTAATACGCTTTACCTTTAAGTCTTTTGATGCATTTCCTGCCAACTCTAGTACCTCTGCAGTGAGGTACTCCAGGATGGCTGCGCTATACACTGCGGCGGTCGCGCCCACACGGCTGTGGCTGGTTGTCCTAGATTTCAGGTGTCGATGAATATGGCCCACAGGGAACTGCAAGCCGGCTCTCTGCGTGTGGGAAACCGCCTTTGCCTTGGCCTTTCGGGAGTCCTTTCCAGCCTTACCGCCAGCCATCTCGGACCGTGCTAAAGATCGCACAAGCGAGGAAGAGACTAGGCCAGGCGGATGCACAGCGAGATCCCGGTGCCTACTCCTCCCTGCGATTCTTTCTAATATTTTTTAATATTTCTTTTTAATATTTACTTATTTTTACTTTATGCATATGAGTGTTTTGCCTGTATGTGTGTAAGTACACAACACACTGTACCTGCTGTCAGTGCTGGTCATAAGATAGCATAAGATCTCATAGAACTGGGGTCACAGATGGTCGTGAGCCATTTGTATGGTTGCTGGGAACCAAACCCAGGTCCTTTACAAGAGCAGTGCTCTTAACTGCCGAGCCATCCCTCCAGCCCCCTGCCCCCATATAGTATATCTTTTCAACCCTTCTAACAAATCTATAATGTGGATAGGATTTTATAGCTAAGGAAACCAAGGTTCAGAAAGATGAAATGATAGCTAAGACCACAAGGCCTGAACTAGGAAGATCAGAATCTCGTATCCAGGTCTGTTTGTTTGCAGGCGGCAGGCAGGTCGTTTTACCTCATCACTGGAGATAAATGAGTACAATTCTTTGGAGAGACCATGATCGGCTAGGCAGCTAATAAAACTTAATTTAATAAGCACTTACCACATTTCTGGCTTAAGCACAAACCCACTAGATCCTGGGAATAGAAGGATAGAGACAAGTCGTGATAAGGCCATCATGGGAGAGGAGCCATGGAAGGGAGGACGGAGGACTTTGGGGAATGGCGGTTGAAAGCTATGTGACCTAAGTCTTCCATGAAGCAGCATGTCCAAACTGCATGAGAACTTGATTCTGGGATTTGGCCTCATGCGTTTGTAGGGGCTGGTTCCACAGTCTAGGCGAGACTATCCCTCCAATGTCAGACAGCGCAGTTTTCGGTCAGCAGAGCGGTGATTAGTACCCAGTTTCTAAAATAGGTTACATGTGGTACAGACAGAGGAAGACACACTGCAGTCAGCTAGGATGGGTGGAACCACAGCATCTCTCAGCATCCCCAAGCAAACCTTTAAATCCATCCTCGCAGATGACCTGCAGGAGTTATTGCTGTCCCTCCTCAACGTGCCATGAGTCTGCGAGTCAATATGAATATGAGTGACACAGACCAGTTGCTGTTCCATGCTGCCCAAATCCCAAGGGAACAGCAATGACGCCTGCCAGCTACTGCTGGTCTTCATGCCAGCACAGAGAGAAAGTGGCTACCTCCATTTCTGCCATCTACACCTCACAGAAAATGCCACTGTGGTCCACACCAGGATCCGTACAGAAAAGAGAATTCTAGGAGCCCTAATGCAGTTGAGTTGTGTTAGCATATCCCATGCCCAGCACAGGTTCCTAAGGAGTGAGCCAAAAAACTTTTCTACAGGTTTTCTCAGCAGATTAGAAAAGGAAGTGAAGCCGGGCGTTGGTGGAGCACGCCTTTAATCCCAGCACTCCGGTGGCAGAGGTCAGACGGATCTCTGTGAGTTCGAGGCCAGCCTGGTCTCCAGATCGAGTGCCAGGATAGGCTCCAAAGCTACACAGAGAAACCCTGTCTCGAAAAAC